AATTAAGGAGTCAATCCCATTGACAATTGCACCCAAAAGTATGAGATACGTAGGAATAAACCTAAGCAAAGAAGTAAAGAATCGATACCCTAAAAACTACAGAAAACCTCTGAAAGAAATTGAGGAAGACACAGAGATGGAAAAATATTCCATGCTCATGGATTGGAAGAGTTTATGTTGTGAAAATGTCAATGCTACCTAGGGCAATTTACCCATTTAATGCAATCCCGATCAAAATACCATGGCCTTTCTTCAGAGAGTTGGAACAAATCATCTTAAGATTTGTGTGGAATCAGAAAAGACCCCGCATAGCCAGGGGAATATTAAAAAAGAAAACCATAGCTGGGGGCATCACAATGCCAGATTTCAGGTTGTACTACAAAGCTGTGATCATCAAGACAGTGTGGTACTGGCACAAAAACAGACACATGGATCAATGGAACAGAATAGAGAATCCAGAAGTGGACCCTCAACTTTATGGTCAACTAATATTCGATACAGGAGGAAAAACTATCCACTGGAAGAAAGACAGTCTCTTCAATAAATGGCGCTGGGAAAATTGGACATCCACATGCAGAAGAATGAAACTAGACCACTCTCTTGCACCATACACAAAGATAAACTCAAAATGGATGAAAGATCTAAATGTGAGACAAGATTCCATCAAAATCCTAGAGGAGAACACAGGCAACACCCTTTTTGAACTTGGCCACAGTAACTTCTCGCAAGATACATCCATGAAGGCACAGGAAACAAAAGCAAAAATGAATTATTGGGACTTCATCAAGATAAACATCTTCTGCACAGCAAAAGAAACAGTCAACAATACTAAAAGACAACCTACAGAATGGGAGAAGATATTTGCAAATGGCGTATCAGATAAAGGACTAGTATCCAAGATCTATAAAGAACTTATTAAACTCAACAGTAAGGAAACAAACAATCCAATCATGAAATGGGCAAAAGACATGAACAGAAATCTCACAGAGGAAGATATAGACATGGCCAACAAGCACATGAGAAAATGCTCCGCATCACTTGCCATCAGGGAAATACAAATCAAAAGCACAATGAGATACCACCTCACACCAGTGAGAATGGGGAAAATTAACAAGGCAGGAAACCACAAATGTTAGAGAGGATGTGGAGAAAGGGGAACCCTCCTGCACTGTTGGTGAGAATGTGAACTGGTGCAGCCACTCTGGAAAAATGTAGGATGTTCCTCAAAGAGTTAAAAATAGATCTGCCCTAAGACCCAGCAATTGCACTGCTGGGGATTTACCCTAAAGATACAGATGCAGTGAAACACCGGACACCTGCGCCCCAATGTTTCTAGCAGCAATGTCCACAATAGCCAATCTGTGGAAGGAGCCTTGGTGTCCTTCAAAAGATGAATGGATAAAGAAGATGTGGTTTATGTATACAATGGAATATTACTCAGCCATTAGAAACGACAAATACCCACCATTTGCTTTGATGTGGAAGGAACTGGAGGGTATTATGCTGAGTGAAATAAGTCAATCAGAGAAGGACAAACAGTATATGGTTTCATTCATTTGGGGAATATAAAAAATAGTGACAGGGAATAATGGGGAAAGGAGAAAAAGTGAGTGGGAAATATCAGAAATGGAGACAGAACATGAGAGATTCCTAACTCTGGGAAATGAATAACGGGTGGTGGAAAGGGAGGTGGGCAGGGGTTGGGGGTGACTGGATGATGGGCACTGAGGGGGGCACTTGATGGGATGAGCACTGGGTGTTATGCTATATGTTGGCAAATTTAACCCCATTTAAATAGAAGCTTGAGGAATACAAGGTCAATATAGAAAAATCATTTGTGTTTCTATAAAGTAACAATGAAAAATTCAAATATAAAATTAAGAAACCAATTTCATTTATAATATTATTAAAAATTATACAGGGACCTGGGTGGCTGAGTCAGTTAAGCATCTGACTCTTGGTTTTGGCTCAGGTCATGATCTCATGGGTTGTGAGATTGAGCCTTACATTGGGCTCCAGGCTTAGTGGGGAGTCTGCTTAAAGTTTTTCTCCCTCTACCCCTCCCCTACTTTCTCTCTTTCTCTCTCTCAAGTAAATATATAAATCTTTTTTTAAAGGTTTTATTTATTTATTCATGAGAGACGCACAGAGAGAGGCAGAGACATAGTCAGAGGGAGAAGCAGGCTCCATGCAGGGAGCTGGATGTGGGACTCAATCCCAGGACTCTGGGATCACACCCTGAGCTGATGGCAGACACTCAACCATTGAGCCACCCAGATGTCCCAGTAAATATATAAATCTTAAAAATAATGATACTTAGGAATATATTTCATTAAAGTAGTGTGAGACTTATATACTGAAAATTATAAAATATCATTGAAAGAAATTAAAGATGATCTAACTGAAAAAAAAGATGGTCTAACTCAGTGGAATGCCATCTTGTGTTCTTGGATTAGAAAACTTAATATTGTGAAAGTAGCAATACTTTCCAAACATATACAGATTCAATGCAAACTCTATCAAAATCCCAACTGGCTTTCATTCAGAAATTGACAAGTTGAACCTAAAATTTACATGGAAATGCAAGATATCCAGAATAGCCAAAACAGTCTTCATGACCTTGGGTTTGGCAATATATTTTTAGATATGACACCACAAGTAACAAAAGGAAAATAGACAAAATTGGATTTCATCAAAATGAAATAACTTTGTACTTCAAAGCATATCATCAGAAAGTAAAATATGACCCACAGAATGGGAAGAAATACTTGCAAATCACCTATCTGAAAAGGGTTTAGTGTCCAGAATAAAGAACCCTAAAACTCAATAATAACAATAAAGGGCAAATAACCCAGCTAAAAATAGATAAAGAATTTGAATAGATATTTCTCTAAGGAAGATATAGGAAGGATATGTTCAAAAAGTAAATGAGAAGAAGCTCAACATCATCGGTTATCAGAGAAATGCAAATTGAAATCACATTGAGGGGCATCTGGGTGGATCAGTGGTTGAGCATCTGCCTTTGGCTCAGGTCATGATCTTGGGATCCTGGGATCAAATCTCGCATCGGGCTCCCCGCAGAGAGCTGCTTCTCCCTCTGCCTATGTCTCTGCCTCTCTCTGTGTGTCTCTCATGAATAAATAAATACAATCTTTTAAAAAATAAAATCACTTTGAATACCACTTCATGCCCACTGGGATGGGTATAATTTTTAAAAATGAAAAATAAGTATTGGCGGGGATGTTGGGGAATGGGAACCCTTACACATTGCTGGTGGAAATCTAAAATGATGCAGCCACTTTGGAAAACAGCCTGAAAGTTCCTCAAAGGCTTAAACATAGATTCACACTTGACCTAGTAGTCCTGCTCCTAGAAATATACCCAAGAGAAATGAAAATATATGTCCATAAAAATGTGTACACAAATGTTCATAGAAGTATTATTCATAATAGCCTGAAGGTGGAAAAACCCAAGTATCCATCAACTGATGAATAGATCAATAAAATGTGTTATAGCCATACAATGGAATATTATTCAGCCGTGAAAAGAAGTACTGACCCATGCTGCAAATAGATGAACTTTAAAAACAATATGCTAAGTAACAGAAGTAGACATAAAAACCACATATTAAAAAAAAACACATATTATGTGGTTCCATTTACATGAAATTTCTAGAATAGGCAAGTCTATTTTGACAGTGGTTGCTGGGGTCCGGATGCAGGGGGGAATGGAGAGTGACTGCTTATGGGTAAGGGGTTTCTTTTGGGGGCTATAGAAATATTCTGGAATTGCACAATGAGGATGATTGCACAACCTTGTGAATGTATTGAAAACTACTAATTGTGCACTTTAAAGGGCAGATTTTATGGTATGTGAATTTTATATCAATAAAGCTGTTATTATAAAAAAGGAGAATCGTGTCTAACAACCAAGTAGGAGAAATGTGCTAAATCATCAGTTTTCTCCATCCCAGCTGATTGGACCAGTGGCATGCTACCTTTTTCTTCAGAACCTGCCCCCAAACATTTACTCCTTTCACCTATGGCAGAAAGTGCTAGTCAGCTTTGGCCTAAGCCAGTAACACTGGACAGTCTCAGGTCCACGTTTGTCACATCTTCTATAATAGCCCTTCCCTCATGTTATATTTTTATAGTGAACAACTCCTTTCTCCAAAATCGAGCCAAGTGAGACTCAAAAACCGCTCTGAGGTAACAGAGAGAAAGGGAAGTATAGGAGCATAAGCTGTAGGTAATAGGTGGCCTCACTATTCCAAAATCCTCTCCTACAATGGAGAATACTCAAGGAAACCTAGACATTTCCCCTTCTACTCCCTTCCATCTTGGTAGGTTGGGAAAATATTTTGAAGTCTTTCTGTTGGAGACTGATCTATTCCTAATTCACATTAGTGAACTTAAGCCATTCTCAGAGAGGATTGGCAACCACAGAAGATTCCAGAGCTACTTCTGTCACCCATTCTAATATTTAACAGTTCTTGCCATTACCATAACAGTAATAACGTAACAATGCCAGTAACAATTTCCCATATTTAGTCTAGGTTCGGAATGCTTGGCGTAAACCAAATAACCTCTTGTTATATCCTTGGTGGAGAGTGAGAAGAGATACTGTTGCCTTATAGTTGGAAAAGAGTGCCTCAGAAAGAAATAGTAATAGCAACTAGGAGTTTTTCAGAGAATGCCAGATCATCAATCTCTAAGCATTTGAAATCCCCCTGTAGGTAGGGTTTCCCAAAACTGGTCACAGGACTCTATGTAAAAGTGCATAAAAGATGTGGAGAGACATAATTTAAAAAGAGGAGTTTAAGTCCTTTGTGAGTTAGCAAGGCCAAATGAATCTGGCCAAGCCACCACTTCCCACAAGATAACAAAATGACAGACTCAGACAAGCACCACCAGCAAGCAGAGTCCCCTCCAAGAGGTATAGCACTTTGAAAACCAGATTCCCATTGAACCATCACTGCCATCCTGCCCAGGTCACCTTACCTAATCGAAATTGATTGGAGACGTTCCCACATGTTTGCATTATCTCTGGGCTATTCCATCCTAAGGGGTATAACGCACAGCCTGAGCTTATCAGCAGCCCTGGAAAGAAAAGCATACACACAGGTAGAAAAAATATACAACAGGTCTTCTATCACCCAAAATTTCTCTCTGGATTAACGCGGCTCAACTTCTGCCTCTTCTGTTCAGGGTTTATGGTTCCCCTATAACCCTAAATGTCTATGACACTACAAACTCCCCAGGATTTTTTTTTTTTTTGCCATGCCATAGGTGGTAAGTTGCAGGTGATAGGAGAGGGAAAAATTCATAAAGAAAAGGCAATATTAGGAATTGAGACAGGCCAGTGTACTTTTTACAACCCAAAGGTTTTTGACAATGACTTATAAAGCTAGGTTGGCCTCCCCATTCAGACTCCTCTTCTATCTTGGTCTGGTTTTCAAAGAAGAGCAAGGTAGAGACTGCTACTCTTTCCTAAAATTCAGCCTTTTCTAAGATTAGTCAGATAGGTCTCTACTAGTTGAAGGTCGTTTATGAATTCTATCACTTGGACTCAGCTGCCAGACTGAGATCTTTAGGAGGCATACATGTTGGGTAAGCTTCTCCTGGTGAGGAGGGCACTGCAATCCCTCTTCCAGAAACACTTTCTTATTCTGAGAAATGATTCCAGCTTTATGCTAAGCATTTCTCTATTATTTGACTTCCAATACCTTCCACCATGCCCCGTTGTCTTCACGTCTATTTTGTTTAGGTTATTTGGTCACTCCAAATAGCTACTTTCCAGCTACACCCAACCTTTCACTGATGCCAGAATTACTACTTCCTCATATCCTAACAGTTGCATAACCTCCTCCTAACTCCACATTTTCCATGAGGCATATGCCAAATCTTTGTCTCTGGGAAGAGAAAGCCCCCTCCCTGGGTGTTACTAACCACCTTCTCTCCCCACCCCCAGCCATTCACAAGTACAAATACTGAGTGTGCAACCATTTTGTTACACTCCCCATTTCATCCCCAAATATCTGTCCAAATATGGATATTAGGTAGTTTGAATTTACTACCTGAGCAGAAATCTAGTGTTAGTTTAATACTAGACTTAGTATTAAGCCTAGTAATTGTCGTTAATTTGTTATTAATAATTAATGTTATTAATTTGCTATATTATTGATTTGTTACTTTGTTATTAATTTGCTCAATTTATTGCTCTTATAGCAGTTTCAACTCAAACTCAGTAGAAAACTTATAAGTCCTCCCTCCAGCTATAATCTCAGCTTTCCCTTCTCAGGGAGCTCCCCACTCAACTCTCCCATTCATTTGACCCCATATTCTCTCTCAGAGTTATACAACAATTTACTTCTGTGAGAGATATTTAAAGTAAATCAGGGGAGGCTTCACACAGAGACTGCATTTGACACAGACTTTGAGAAACAGGCAGATGTTTACTGACAGAGATGGAAGAAGAGGGAATTCTAGAAAAAAGCAACAGTATTAGTGAAACTGAGCAGAGGTTCTCAAATTTTAGCATGTACTGGAATCATAATGGAGAATAATAAAAAACAAATCAAAGACAGTAGTTACCTTTGCTGTAGAAACAAGGGACTATGATCAGGATATGAAGGAGACTATAACTGTATCGGTAATATTCTATTTCTTAAGCTGAGTGGTACATACATCTGAACTATTTTATACTATATTGTAAAAAATAAATCAGTTGAGAGGCTGTGTAAAATAGAATGGAAGGCCTCAGTTCTGACTCAGTAGGCTTAGAATGGCACTAACAAGCACCCCAGGTAATTCTTTTACAAGCGGTTCATGGACCACTCTGAAAAACATTGTGATAGCATTTCATCTTCAAGGTGAAAAGGAAAAATCAGTAGTAGCAGTGGATAAAGCCCAGGGCTGAGAGTTAGGAACCTTGACCCATATTCTCTGCTCTGCTCCAATTTGCTACCTAAGTATTTGCTAGTTGGTTAACTTCTTTAAATACTATTTTCCCAAACAGAAAGCCACTTTTATCCTTGTTCAGCACGGAAGGATAAATTAAATTATGCCAGTGAAACTTTGAAGGATTTTCCAGGAAATGCATGGTTTCCAGAGAAGATAATGGTTTTTAGAAAAACAGCCCCCTTTTCTTGATTCAAGTTCTCAGTGATCTGTCTCCAATGGCAATTTTCATTGAGCTTGAAGCATGTGGCATTAGGACCTTACGTGGAAAGAAAAGAAAAAACAAACACTGGTGCCTGTCTGAGTATGTTGAATTATAGCTCCTTAATAATAAAGAATGTCCAGGTGGTGGTTGTCACTTGAGTTGGGGAAAGGGAACACAGCATACACATCAGAGTCATTGGGGAGATTTTTCAAAACACCAGACTTCCACCTGTTGCTATGTATATCAGAATGGGAAAGAGGATGGGAGAGATGGGGAGTTCACATTTTTAAAGCACTCCAGGTGATCCTGATGCATTCCCTGCTCTAGAAAGATTCTTGGCCTCCCTCTAGTAACCCGATCCAAGATCTTACACTTTTTCCTGCCAAATTCCTTATATTTACTTCTCAACTCTTTCTTCCTTGTTTAGCTCTCACTGAAGTAGAGAACAATTCACAAGCATCTTGCATATGTATACACAGGGGAATGTGAATAATGACCTTGTTCTCAGGGACTGGGGGCCAGCTGGTTGGAAATCTCTGGATCCCCAGGGTTGAAATAATCTCCTGGCCAGATGTTTCCTTCACCGGTTGGAGCAGGGCATGAAGGTCCCAGTGGAAGGCTCTCTGGACCCTAGGCTTGTCCAGCTGGATCAGCTGCAGGTGGGGCAAATGGGACCCAAGGGCCCCATCAGGTCACCTTGCTAAGTCTGACTCAGGCCAGCAGCTCTTTATTTCTTCCTGTCTCTCCCACTTCCCACCGTTCATCTTTGTGGGCAGCTGCCAAACTGGGGAACAAGAGTCAGGCGGGGGACGGGGTAGTTCTTAATGTATACTCCATCTCTTCAGTGGTTTGGGTCTGGCAGAGATAAACCAGACCTAAAACAAATTGGCTCCACCCCCTGATGTATTTCGGTTAATGTACTAGCTGCCGAGAAGCCGCCAGGCCCAGAGCAACAAAATCAATTCCCCTCAGCTGAATAATAAGCTTAAACTTAACCCCTACAGCTCTTTCTCTTGTGTCTTTCATCCATTGTGCTAAACATGCTGTTCAGGTTTGGCTTCCTGACACTGGCAAAGCATATCTCTAAGAGGTCAGATCCAAGGTCTCTGAAGACCCTTGGGTAATGGTCATTTGCCAACAGGCTCCTAGAAAATATGATACATCCAAGTAGTCTTTGCATCTGATGTAACCATGACAGGCACAAGTTTCTAAAAAGGAGGTAGGAATGATCCTTATTTGGCTGGAGTTGTGGATGGGAAGCTGTGGAAATTTAGCAACCTGTCCAATATCATTCACGTGTCCAGGGATAAATCTTGCCTTGGGTCTTGAAGACTCCTTCCATGACCACTGTCAAGTGGCAATTTATTCTTGAACTTTACCTCATCTAAGAATAAATACTGTGACCATGGTTTTATGAGCAAGGGTCAATGGAGAATCATTCTATTATGGGGAATCATATGAGATGAAAATGGTACTGATGTTTCAACTTCCTCCATATGACACCTGCCACTCAGCCAATGTTCTTCCCCATTCAATCTATGAGTGTCTAAAGCTCCATGACCTACCCATATATCTCCTCAAGAATTTCTTTTGAGTTTTTCAACCTGGGAAGTGGGCTTAACTAAAATGTGTCATATGGATAACCACAAGGGTTTTGTAAAAGTCTCAGTCAAGCCTAAGTAAGCTGGGAACAGGAGCCACTCTTAATGGTTGGAGTCTGATGGAAGCTATTGCTATTGGCCTTCTGATTCCCACCAATTAGCCCCTCCTAACTCCCTGTTGGCAACTCTTAGAAATCCAGGTGAAGCTAAGTTGTCACTCTCAAATCAGAAGAGAAAAGGACTCAGGATGCTAACCCTCCTGAATGGAAGCCTGGGAAAAAAGGAAAGGTGTGACTGAACCCAGCTCTCACATGTCCAACTTATCCCAACATATGCTAGGCATTGCCTTAGCTGTGCATTCATCCTATTACAGTTACTGAACACCTCCTTTGTGCCAGGCATTTAACTGGGCCCTGAGACTATAAATATGAGTTGCAAAGGCCACCCCTTTCTTCTGTCAGCTAAGTGTCATTTCCTAAAATGATGTGTCCATAAAAGTGCTGAGCTATCTATAGCATGCCCAAGAATGCAGGTGAAAAGTGAGCCCATTAAAGGTTCATTTGTGATATTCATTTGTAATTGAGCCCCCAAGGGGAGACAAAGCCATTGACTTAGATCAGCCTTAGTTAACTGGCTCTGTGTTACGGTTTTCAAGGGGGAATATAGAAACTAATCTAATGATGTTCCAATTTGGCCAGGAAAACATTAATAGCTAAAGAGTGGAAAAATGCAGATATAAGGGAGATTAGAATGTTCATTCATATTTAAAACTTGTACAGTAAGTCTGAGAAAAGAGGAAACCAGAAAATATCACCTTAACGGTCTAACCAAAAGAATCTGGTGCTTTTTTATAAGTGGGTCAGCAAACTATGATATCTTAGTTCTGGGTTTCTCAGCCTTGGCACCATTGGTATTTTGTGCTGGATACTTATTTGTCATTGGAAGTGGGAAGCTGTCTTGTTCTTGTTCCTTTACCTGTATCCACTGGATGCCAATTGCACACTTCCCAAGTTGTGATAACCAAAAATGTCTCAAAAAGATTACCAAATGTCTAGGGTGGGGCAGGAATCAGCCCCTGCTGAGAACCACTGTCTTTGTTGACCACTATCACCTCACTCTATGGCCACCCGAATACAGTCATTAGAGAGAAGAAAGAAAATTGGGATCTGCACTATCTTGCCAATGAACAAATTCAAGGGTGGAAAGGAGATGAAAACAAAAGAGGTCATTGTCATTTGCCCATGGCCACAGGGCAACTTAGGCAAGAGCCAGAAGTGGCTCCAGGTTTCCTGGCTCCTGCACTGTGCCGTTAATGGAGATGACAATGATAATGAATTGAGTAATGATTCTAAAACTTCATGGGCAACAACCACACATCAGCAACAGGTTCTACCAGCACTTCTTCCCAGTGCCTCATCCAGGTATAAAATAAAATTCACATATTCACATGCAGATTTGCCTGTCTGTCTAAACTTTTTCTTCTCATGAAGTTCAAATTAAGCTGCCATTGTTGCCTTCCTGCAGTCTGCCATTTTTGCATTTGGCCCTTTCCTAGCCCACCTATGCACCACCAACATCTCAGGTCTTCGCATGGAATTTAGATGGAGACTGAATGAGGGAAAAATAAAGAGGGTGTGTCAGGGCCCTAAGAAATTGGGATAGGACACCTGGGTAGCTCAGCAGTTGAGCATCTGCCTTCGGCTCAGGTCTTGATCCCGGGGTCCTGGGATCGAGTTTTGCCTCAGGCTCCCTGCAAGAAGCCTGCTTCTCCCTCTGCCTTTGTCTCTGCCTGTGTGTCTCTCTGAATAAATTTTAAAAAATTAAAATCTTAAAAAAAAAAGAAATTGGGATAGACTGTCAATGGCTACCATACAGGTCTGGCCTTAGGTATAGGTCAAGTAAGCAGTCACCTACAGTTTGTTTGGTACCTAGCATTTCACTAGTAAAGCTGTATTTCTTTGGTAAGGACTATACATCAAACTTGTTAGTAATTAGCACTTGTGTATATATGTTTATCAGATCACTGTCCTCTGAGATAACTGCTAGTGATTGAGGCACTTAGTGATCAAGTGTATTTAGAGTATACCTTGCTGCCTCTGGAAAGCAGACCTGGATAATATCCTTAAATGGGCACTGTTAAGGCAGCAGGTGATGAAAACAGAGGGCTAAAACAACAGAAAGCAACCCTGCTGCTAGCCAATTTTGTTGCAAATAAAGCGTTGATGTAGATGGCACTTTGGGGCATCCTAGGCTGGGTGTTTCAAAGGAGTGCCCATTCATAGCCTTTGGGTTGGGTAAAGGGGAGGGGCTGAGAGTGGATTTCTCCATAAGGCACTTCCCACCCCACCCTCACCACCAAGCTCCACGACCTACCCAATCCCAGCAACACAGTCTTACCTCCCACGAACTGTGCTGCTCCCATGCAACGTCCCATCATTCTGGAGATGAGCTCCTCCATGCAGCAGCCCAGGACAGCAGCCAGTGCCACGAGGAGCAGCAGAGCACAGCCGGCACCTGTCACCACCGTGCACATCTGCCAGGCCAGGCTTGGGATGGCACTGAAGCTGGCATAGCGCCCACACTCTTCCACCATGATCAGACTGTGCCCCTCTCCCCGCACAGGGTAGTTGCACCTCCGGAATGTGCTGAATGACACTGGCTTCCCCAGCTGGGATCCAAAGAGCCAATAAGGCAGGAAGTAACTGGTAGAACTGGCCACAGCAGTAACAAGGGACAGGAAGGCCCAGAGTGTTCCCACCAGGGTCAGGCTGCTCCTCATGGTCTCAGGTTTCTCTGCAAGGATGGGGAGATGAGTTGGGTCATGGCACCAAATGCAGAAAGTTAGCATGTAGGCTCCATTGGCCTATTTTTCATCTGGCTGGCCAGTCCTAGGGCTCATTTATGTACCACTTGGCTCTTCCCTTTGGATAAGATTATTCTCTTGAGGCCCAGTTAGGTCCTTCTGGGATTCTGTTTTCCAGCATTTTTCCCATCTTCCCTTCCTCCCACCTGATTCAGAGTTCTAGGGTCTCTAGGCTACAACAAATAGAAGAACCATAGAACTGAATTAGTGACTGTTCTGCCAACTCAAATGCAGTCTAATCAGACAGCTTTCAACTCTTGACATCTAGCATGAAACAAGTGGAAAGGGGGAAGCTGGAAGGAAACCAAAGCCTCCCAGAGAATACTCAGCTGCTAGTGGAATGGTCTTGCTGGTCCGGGCTCAGCTGCCCAGAAGGAGTTGATATCTCAAGAGGGTCAGGAATCAAGTTGTATTCAGAGAGTGAAGGAAGAAGGAAGACAACTCACAGGGCTGCCCCTCCTACAAGGGAGAAGAGGGAAGGAGAGCTCACGATGGAGTTATAGGATGTGCCCATCTGACCTATGTAGGATGTCCAGTAGTGTATCAGTATGAGCTGTTAACAGGGATGAAATGTGTAAAATTAAACAAGGGGTGCCTGCCTCATACCTCATGCTTATCATGGAGTAAGCATTGTTCAGTCACTTTTTCCCAAAAACAATATGGGGAGGCAAGTTTCCAACCAGTGAGGGTTGTTTAACTCTAGATGAGCTACTAAGAAAACCTGCCTCTTCCTTTGCTCAGCATAGTCCGAAAAGCTTCTCCTCTCTCTGAAATGGATCGCATACCCCTGCCTGGCAGCAGGAACATACATATATAGCTGTAAGGATCTCTCAGGGTGCTTTCTGGAACAAGTAATCTCAGACTCAAGACACTCAGAGTCTTTTCAGATCTAATCTCCTCAGTCCAGCTCACAAATGGCTTTCACAGACCCCTCGGTCAAAAACCAACCATTTCCCTCCCAACTCCATTAATCTGCCATTGCTTTCTGGCCTCAATTAGGGCAGAGACCACACTGCAGCTTGATGACAGCACTGTGAATGTCTCCAGCAGGCAGATGGTGGGGTATATTTCAGAAACTTTGCCAGGATTCATCACCCTTGCTTAAAGCTACAGGTGATGAGAGAGGAGCTCAGCTGTGGGAGACCCAAGGTAAGGGGATTGAAGTCACTGGCCACCATACCACACATTTGGGACCTTGTCAGGAGCAAGCAGCAGCTGTAGTCGGGGTCTTGGGGACCATGCCCAGCTATGAGCCCTTTCATGAACACCACTAAACAGTGTCTGGCACAGACTAGACATTCCTATTCATGTTTGTCTAATGAAATCCATTTCATAGAAGCAGCCAATTTCCAGGCTGGTATAGGCTAATTCAACCTTCTTGTTTTGCATATGGGGGAGTGTGGCCCAGTAAGGGGGGAAATAATTTCCCTCAAGCCACAGAATAAGTTAGCAAATAGCAATGCTGGAATAAGAAACCTGATCTGCAGATTCCTGGGCCAGCACTTTTCTACCACAGAGTACTAACAGCCCTCCCCCCATCACTCTGCAGATGGGAATCCGAAGAGGAAGTGATTTCCCCAAGAGTAAAGGGTTAGTGAGGTACACTGGCCAGAACAGAGCCCAGTTATTTGATTCTTAGCATAATGCTCTGTTGTCAGTCCACCACAATTCCCCTCCTGAAACATATGTATTGTGTGCTATGTGTTTTGTGCAGGAAGGGAGAAGAGATCATAAATTGCAGGTGCTTACTTTGGAATGTTAGGGCTTGGGAAGAAAGTGCCCTGAGCTGGTCCCCTGGGAATGAGGCTTTGTGCCTGAGGGGGGGGGTGCGGAGCGAGAAGATGTGATGAGGGATTGAAAGCCAATGGGAGGAGAAGTGGAACTAGTTTTAAGTAACTGCTGTTAGAAAACAGGTACCTTGGCCACAATGAGGTAATGCCTCTGCTTGTTATATTAGAGTCTCTAAGATTATGAAAAGAGCAAGCAGCCCTTCTGTTATGGTCTCACTTCCTGGTGAAGAAGCCCAGGCAGGAGGATGAGAGGAAACCAGCTGACAAACACTTAGGGCTGCATCATCGACTTCCAAAGCCAGTATTTCATGAACTCTGCCCAACAACCTTCTCTGTTGGGTAAGAAAGGTGTCACCCCCAATTTACAAATGAGCACAGTGAGGATCAGAAATCTAAGTGACTTGTCCGGGGTTGCACAGTAATTTCATGGCACAGGCCATGACTTCCCATTTCCCATTCACCCACCACCTTCCCCCATGTTCTCCTTTATCACCCCAATGGTATTACAATTAAAAGCCTCCATGGCTTCCCAGCCAGGATTTCAAAAAATGTTTAATAATGGGGAAAGAACTAGAGGGGCATACTGGAAAGGTCGGAGGAAGGTCACTTTCTCTAAGCAGTGTGTAAACCAGCGAAACAAGAGCATTAGCTGTTTCAAGCTCAGCAACTGTGGTCAGAACCAACCCCATATGTTGCCCATAGTTATCATCACCTTGAGATCAAAAGTCCTGGTATGACAACTAGTAGAAGGGCAGAGAATTTAAGGTAGATAAGGAAACTGTGTCACGGAATGGTACCAAACTATACAAAAATAAGAGGTGGGGTTCTGACATAGTACCATTATCTGAGAGTACCTAGGTAGCTCAGTTGTTTAAGAGTCAGACTCAATTTTTGGCTCAGGTCATGATCTTGAGGTTGTGAGATGGGAGCCCCATATCCAGCTCTGTGCTCAATGCAGTCTGCTGGAGATTCTCTCTGTCCCTCTCCCTCTGTCCCTCCCTTGCTCATGGTGTGTGTGTGTGTGTCTGTGTTCTCTCTCTCTCTCTCTCTCTCTCTCTCTCAAATAATCTCAAATAAATAAATAAAAACTTTATTTTGAAAGAGAGAGCACAAGCACGAGGGATGGTGAGGGGCAGAGGAAGAGAGAGAGAGAGAGAGACTCTCAAGCAGGCTCCATGCTGAGTGTGGAGCCACATGCAGGGCTTGATCTGATGATCCCAAGATCATGACCTGAGCTGAAACCAAGAAGCAGGTGTTTAACTGACTGAGCCACCCAGGTGCCCCAATACACAAAATATTTTATTTATTTTTTTAAATCCATAAAAAATATTTTCATCATCTGTGACACATCAGGCTGTTTAATAAAACAATACTACCAACCACTGCCACTATAATTTTACTTGTAAAATGGAATTTTGAAGCCAAGATGTAAGGCAGAACCATAAAATCCAGTTTAAGTTACATATGCTTAGCTTTAGCGAAACTCATTGGCTTTAAGAATATAAATACTTTTTTGGGATCCCTGGGTGGCGCAGTGGTTTGGCGCCTGCCTTTGGCCCAGGGCACGATCCTGGAGACCCGGTATCGAATCCCATGTCGGGCTCCCGGTGCATGGAGCCTGCTTCTCCTTCTGCCTATGTCTCTGCCTCTCTCTCTCTCTCTCTCTCTCTCTCTCTCTCTCTCTCTCTGTGTGTGTGTGTGTGTGTGTGACTATCATAAATAAATAAAAATAAAAATAAATTTTTTAAAAAAGAATATAAATACTTTTAATTTGGGATGCCTGGGTGGCTCAGTGGTTTAAAGCCTGCCTTTGGCCCAGGGCATGATCCTGGAGTCCCAGGATCTAGTCCCACATCAGGCTCCCTGGATGGAGCCTACTGCTCCCTCTGCCTATGTCTCTGCCTCTCTCTCTCGCTCTCTCTCTCTCTCTCTTATGAATAAATAGATAAAACCTTTTATTATTTTTTATTATTTTTTTAATTTTTTTTATTTATTTATGATAGTCACACACACACACACAGAGAGAGAGAGAGAGAGAGAGAGGCAGAGACATAGGCAGAGGGAGAAGCAGGCTCCATGCACCGGGAGCCCTACGTGGGATTCGATCCCGGGTTTCCAGGATCGCGCCCTAGGCCAAAGGCAGGCGCTAAATCGCTGCGCCACCCAGGGATCCCAAATAAAACCTTTTAAATAAACTTTTAACTTTAGGAAAAACTCATTGTCCTTATTTCACTGAGGACTAGGATGACCAATCATGCTAGTTCTCCTGGGACTGAGGGGTTTCCTGGAATGTGGGACTTACAGTGATAAAACTAGGAAAATTAGTCACCCTATTTAGGACTAGAGGTGTGGTGCACCAGCACTGTCTGTGGAAGGCAAGCTGAGAATCTCTAATGTTCCCTCTCCAAGACTCAAACAATATTAAGTTAAGAGTGGCCATGGCATTAAACAATGGAGAGACGAAGCCTATGTGTTTTGAATGTAAATTTTATTGGAGTCATAGATGTGACCTCATGAAGTCAAGAAAGAGAGCTCAGAAATCCAATTCTCAATGTTTTCAGAGCATACAATAAGCCTCAACGCTGCTTCTCCTGTAGCTGGACAGGGAGGCATTGGGCCATGTGGAGTCTGCAGGCACACTACTACATGTTCTCCCAGACGTGGAAGTGCATTCAAACAAATGCCTTTAGTTCCTGTATGGCCTACAGTGGATGTCCCTTCATGACAGTCCTCCAAGTTCATTCCCAGGAACTAGCCAAGTCTCTTTGCACTCACATAAATAAAAATCATACACAGTGCTATACTTCATTCTATCTTTATTCTTCCTGTATATGTCATACATGCAATGGCTCTGTTTCCCTGTCCTGGAATTCTAGCCATATAGCCACACTAGATTTCAGAAACCAAGAACTCACCCTGGAGCTTCTGCTAATTGGTCCAGTAATCAGGCATTGACAGGATTACTGACCCTCTCTCTTTAGGTGTCACATGGTCCCTCATCCCTTAGTTCCTCCATCTCCTAAAAGGGTCACATACCTGTTTCTGAGACTAGTTGTATAAGATGCAGTGAGTGTGGCCCAAAAGTTGTAACAACCAGAGTGGAAGTGCAAAGTGTGTCCTGCATTTACTGTCCTTACTGAAGGCTAGCGTTCACTAACCTTTAGAGATATGGTCGTCAGTGTAATGCAGACTCATGAGTAGGAATAACTTCAATCTTTTGAAGCAGGAAACCCACCTAAGCTGTACAGGTAAAATGGCTATCTACATTGCATTTATTTATTTATTTATTTATTTATTTATTTATTTATTTATTTATTTATTTATTTTAAGTACTCTAGGGAAGAGGACTCTCCGATTTTTCTCAGTAGCTTAACAACTCTCATTGTCAATAAATCATTCATTACATATCATTTGGAATCTTTTCTGCTGTAACTGAAGGCCAATTCCTTTGGTCACATCCTCAGAGGAGAATAGCTTGGCCGGTCTTCCAGATGAGAGCACTTAATCAACTCAGAATGCTGGGATCTTACCTTTAGCTCTTTCCCTCCCAAAATGAGCACTCTACTCTCTCTGTGGTGTCTCATTGCCATGTTTTTAATCATTTGTTATCACCTTTTCACTCTCATGTGTAGGTACTCATACATAGGCACTTAATAACAGTGAAACTGGAAAAACTGCTCTTATTTTTTCTGAGTGGAGGAAAAGGAATCAAATCCTTCTTTTATCTCATTTTCTCCCTAGCCCCCATACACAAAAATTCAAATACTTTTGTTTCCATACGAGCTTTGTCATACAACTTCTGAGTTAAGGAAAGCACTACTTTACCGAAGGTAACAGGGTCCAAGCAAAGCAACTAGTGAGTTAATGACCAGAATACTAGGTGGTTAGAAATGTCATGTCTGACTTCTAGCTGCTAAGGAAATTGTGGCTGCAAGACTACTGGTTTCAGACTGGTCTGTGAGGAGCAGCTTTGTTGGCACTGATGTTGGCAAAGGAATATGAACAGGTCTTTCTCCTCATGCCCCCCAGATGGTGGGCATTGCCTACCTGCCAACCCTGTTACAATTGCATCATACTCAGTGTTGAGACTTTTGTAGGAAATGAGCAAGATACACAGGCATATGTTTCCAGTGGTAAATAGAGCCACATTCCAGAGAAATGTCTTTACCCAATGTGATCCCTTGTATCAATTTGGGTATATAAGCAGCCTGAACCTGAACATTCTAGATCTTTCTGCTTCAGACACAGGCTCAAAAAGAATCTACTACCCTTTCCTAAGTATTTCTTTCCTCATTTAATGCCACCTGAGTCCTTCAGGAGTTATTCCTCCTCTATTTATCTCTGCAATGGTTGTTACTCCAAGTTCTCCTATGCCTGAAATCATCTCATGATATAGCTACTCCAAGGGCTTTATTTCCCATTTGTATCTTGGCGACTCAAAGAAGATCTCACTGTTTTAAAATTCATTGATGTGTAATCAGGATACAAAAAATTGCACACATTTAGTGCACACATCTTAATGAGTTTTGATGTATGCTTATATTTGTACCACCATCACCACAATCAAGGTACTAAAACATTCATAACCTTCAAAAAGTTCCGTGTATTGGTTTGGTGTATGTATGTGTGCATGTGTTAAGATACAATGTGAGATCTATCCTGTTAATTAATTTTAAAGTGCACAACGCTGTACTGTTAACTTTAGGCATAAAGTTATATGGAAGGTTTCTAGAATTTACTCATCTAGCATGACTAAAACTTTATATTCATTGAGCAACAAGTCCCCATTTCCCCCTCCCCACCAATCTACTCTCTGCTTAATATTTCACTTTTCACCTAAGCCTTGTCTTTCAAATTCCTCAGCTGTCATACTTGCTGATCCTCTTTCTGTGCTTTCCCTCTTCTTCCCTCCTCTTTTATTCTTCAATAGAAAGATTAGCAAAACTAGCTGTGTTGGCTTTGTTTATTTATTTATTTGCATCTGAGATGTTGACAGTCAGGTAAGGCAGTTGAAGGCAGGAAGTTAGGGAGTAAGTGGAGTCAGAAGATCAACTGAGTCACTGACAACCTGGAAGGCCATTTCTAAATAATCAAGTTGGCCATGCAGACAGAGAGAGCCCTTACAAAGAAGCTCTATGTCACGTCCTGGGCTACTCTCTTTCTCCAGAATTTGTGGTTGGAAAGGTGGAAATTGGAATGATTTCCCTAAATTTCATATGAACTTCTCCCTTCCCTGCAAAAAAAAATGGTGCTCACTGAGCTCCCCATTTGTCTTCTGCCTTGGAAACTGAGGTGCCAATTAGAGCTCTTCATCCCAGTTCTTATTCTGGCTGGATAGATGCCACCACTTTCAGTTAGCAGTTGGTCAGTTAGGAGTCCCCTCCACTAGTTAGAAATCACTCCTACCAGCTTGCTATGGCAAGACACGGTTAAGCTCTATCAACAGTGAGCTAACTGGTACTGCATCTCCCCACACCCTTGGGTTCATGGTCCAGCCCTACTACTGTTGCCCAGTAGACCCTCTACCTGTAACCTCAACTGGGAATAGCATGCCACCACAGCTGACCACCTCCATTTAGTGAACCTGGCCAGTATACGAAGAAGGTAAGCCGAATGCTTCTCCAACCACTTCAGCAGACATGAGAGGCAGTGTGGTGTATTAAAAGCATTTCTCAAAATGGTGGACCCAACCCTTCTGCATTAGAATCACCCTCAGTGCTTTAAAATGCAGATGAAAACAGTCCTTCTCAGAGTCACTGAATTACAATTTATGAGATTTGCATTTTTAAAAGATTCTCCATTGATTCTGATGAGAACTAATGATTGAGAAAAACCATTTTAGTGAAAAGGGTCCAGATTTTGGAATCAGATCTGAGATAGGGTCCAGAGGTCTTCCCCTTATATGAACTTAAGAGGATCACTGAAAATCTCTCAGTTTCAGTTTTTATCTATAAAATGGAGATGATTAAGCATAATTAAAGTGATATAAAATCTGGTGTACACCTAACACCAGTATAAGTGCCCATTATTCTTCCCTCTACTGGAAAAGATACCATTCCCCCATAAGTAATAGAGAAGACTTGAAGTCTCCCAAGAAGTAGAATACCCCTCCCCTCTCCTCTCCCTTTCCTCCAGCCACTCTTCCAGTGACTTCTTAGCCCTCGGCTTCTTTCTGTGTTTAGTTTCCCACCACAAAATGGAACCACTCAGCCCAGTGTTCTTTTTGAGAATGGATTTACAGTCAAACTATTTCAGGTTTTTCTCTAAATCATCATGCTTGGCACATAGTAGGAACTCATAAATATTTACAGAGTGAATACAATCTTTTGTTTCTAGCCTGACTGACTTTAACATCTGCATTTCACTTTAACCCCATCACCCCTTTTTGGTCCCCAAATCCCAATTTAGGCAGGTCTAAGAGATCAGCCCAGCACACCAGCAAACCAGATCCACTCTTCCTTCTATAGACAGGTCAGAGCAAAGTCCCTCCCTCCACTCCCAGAGATATGCACTTCCTCTCCTCAAGTTACTAACTCTCATGAGGAAACCAGCTGGCAGTTAACCCTTAGGTCCTCAAACCACGTCAATATGAAATAGAAATCCAGCCCAGATTCCTCTTACCCTCTGTGCAAACAACAGGGTCTGAAGGAGTAAAAAAATGCACCAGGCCCTCTTTGGGAGAAAACAGCTTCTCTGAGCTGTGAGATGAAAGTACAGGAAGCCTGAGAAAGGAAAGGGAGAAGAAGGGCTGAGCACAGAGAGAGCAAAAGCATTCTCTAAGCCAGCTGTTCCCATTGCATTTGGCCCAAGTTGCAAATTTACCTTCTGACCACGGAAGCTGATTGACTTGTCTCCTCTCTTCAGACTCAGATCTGAGAAACAACTTCTTCTCACAGCTTGTCAGAAGGGGATGGGAATCCCAGCTGCTCTTTGCAGTGATGCCTGAAAACCTTGCTTTACCTTTGGGAGAGAGGGGCGGAGTCCAATCTAATGGGAATTAACTCTAAACACGCTGGAGGCTTCAAATCCAGCCTCAGACTTGCAGGCACTTGAAGTAGCTTAGCTGGCACAGAGTCCCCCACTTCCATCCTCACAGCTGCCAAGTCGGTGTGTGTGTGTGTGTGTATGTGTGTGTACATATGTGCGCGCACTCGGGCGCTGCAAATACATATCTGTCTCATATTCCTCAGCCACAGGTCTGCCGAGGAATAGAGGTTCTCCCTAACTTTCCTCAAAAGCCCTAAATAATCTCTACCATATATATTAGGGGGCAGACCTAAGTTGCTGGAAACGACGGAACACACATGTCTGAACAAAGTAAGACAGAATAACCTCTCCCGCCGACCCCCTTACTGACTTCCATTGTCCAATACTCCAACCACGGAATCTATGGCCCCAAGATGTAACAAATTTACATTTAGGAAATTTAAAATCACACATTGAAAAAGCCAAATAATGCCTTTTTAACAAAGACAGCACTACCAAAAGCCAGTGTCTAACTGATCCCAAAGCACCAATGACTGCTTTTGTGCTTGGGAAGATAACCAGAGTTTGATAGAGTTCTGCCTAGTGCTTTGCTCCAACCTGATGTCATCTCTCCCACCTGTGAATGTCCCTGGCACTCCATATTTATTTTGGGAAACTTATCACCTCCTACCTTGTGTTAGTTTTTGGCATATGTGTCTCATTTCCACTCCCAGCTTCCTTGTGAATAGGGAACTTTGCTAAACAAAATGAGTTGGAAGGAGGAATGGTAACCAGTTTAACTTAATAGAGCAGACTAGACTAATCCAAAGTATCTTTACTTCTCTAACATCCTACTTGCCTTCCTAGAATGTTATGAAGGTTATCAGGCCTGTTTTCTAGCATTCTGTGGCAATAATTCAAAAGAGAAGAATAAATGAATTAGCAGTTTGACAGATTTATTGCACCCCAACTATTTAATAAAGTTAAAATTTTTCCTGCCTACTATGGATACAAGTGGGCATCCTGTCTTTTATCAGTGATACAATCTTATATTCATGCATGCATTTGTCTATCTTGCTGCTTTCCATCAGCAGTTTTTAATCATTTTTTCCCTGCCCCAACGTACTGATAAACCACATTTCCATCTGTAATAATGGCTTACTAGGGCAGTTTCTGAGAGAGGGACAGATAACCTCGTAGGTGGAATGTCAGATTTTTGGCAGTGTGAGCTCCCGAGTTAAGTTTTATAATCTCCCATTGGTGTCCCTTTAAGACTCACTGCTTCAGATAGATATAGGGCTGTATAAGGGGAAATGCTAGACCTTCTGTCATTAAAAATAACTCAATATTAACATACACATAATAACTGTGTATGAGATAAGGCTGAAAATTTTAACATAAGAGAAATTGTTGATTCCACTCTCTGCACCTATAAAAACTGCCCTTTGCCTAATGACTACACCTACCATTTGGAGAACTGATCATCATTTGCAACTCCAAGTGGAAATCATTTTTACTTAGCTCTTTTTATCCTTTTTTCCCTATGTTCCCAGTTCCCTTAAGTGGAATAATATGAAAACTTAAATGTATACTAAAGAATGATCTAATTTATTGGGTAAAGTTTGGTTTCCTGTTTTTAGTTTAAGTTGATAATTCAGGAAAAAAGAAACTTGTTTGCACCTTGTGGCTCTAGGTAATTTTTCATTTAAAAATGTGCTCTTCAGGGGCACCTGAGTGGCTCAGTCAGTTAAGCATCTGCCTTAGGCTTAGGTCATGATCCTAGGGTCCTGGGACAGAGCCTTGCATCTGGGCTGCTCAGCGGGAAGCCTGCTTTTCCCTTTCCCTCTGCCCCTCCCCCTTGCTGTGCATTTGCTCTCTCTCTCTCTCTCTCTCTCTCTCTCGCTCTCTCTCTCTCAATCTCTCTCTCTCTCTCTCAAATGAATAAATAAAAAATCTTTAAATAAGATAAAATAAAATGTACTCCTCAGCCTTACTTTCATAAGATCATGGGGGAAGCGCTGAAAAGGAAAACACTTCTTGTAATTTATTTAGAGGATAGGATGGTATATAATATTTTAATAATAGGAAAATGAATATTGGTCAGGGACCCAGGGAATACTTTTTGCCTTTGATCAGTGTGGAATAAGAGATCCTGCAAAGACATGACATGGTGACAGATGATTCCGATATATATCCCACCCCCAAATCTAGTTTGCAAAACATTGCTCTATATAATAGAATTTCTCAAGCAAAATCAACATCCCCACAACATTTTGCAGTCTAGACAAGGGGTCAGCAAACCAGAGATTGCGTTATGCACCAAATCCTATAGGCTGCCTGTTTTTGTAGTTTTATTGGCACACAGCCACAACTTATCCATTTATGTATCATCTGTGGCAATTTTCATGCTACAATTGCAGATTTGAGTACTCTTGACAGGGATCTCATGGTCCACAAAGCCTAGAATATTTACTATCTGGCTCTTCACAGAAAAAAAAATGAAAAAATGATGCTGACCCCTTGTTTAAGCCCACACTGATAGAGACATTATGTCAATTGTTAGGAGAAAGAAGCTGAAAAGGAAGGGGAGTGGAGTGAAATTTTTTTTTTTACGATAGTCATACAGAGAGAGAGAGAGAGAGAGAGAGAGGCAGAGACACAGGCAGAGGGAGAAGCAGGCTCCATGCACCGGGAGCCTGACATGGGATTCGATCCTGGGTCTCCAGGATCGCGCCCTGGGCCAAAGGCAGGCGCCAAACCGCTGCCCCACCCAGGAATCCCTGGAGTGAAATTTTTAAAAATGCTACTTGCTTTCATCTTTGTTGAGGTGCCAGTCAATTCTCACCAGATTTTTAGAATCTGTGAAGTTAACAACACACTAGAGATCAGTATAAGCCGCATATTCAGTAAACTCGTGAAAATGTATTTCTGTTAACTATCCTTTGAATCTGTGTTTATGTTGTTTGCCAATATACTTTAACTTTTCTTTTTTACTGACTTCATTGAGACGTAAGTCACATACCATAAGATTCACCTTTTAAAGTGTGGAATTCAGGGGTGCCTGGCTGGCACAGTGATTGAGCGTTTGCCTTTGGCTCAGGGCATGATCCTGAGGTCCTGGGAGCCAGCTGCATCAGGCTCCCTGCAGGGATCCTGCTTCTCCCTTTGCCTATGTCTCTGCCTGTCTCTGTGTGTCTCTCATGAATAAATAAATAAATAAATAATCCAAAAAATTTGATAAAGTGTGGAATTCAGTTTTTTTTAGTATATTCCCAAAGTTGTGTGTGCAACCCCTCACCACAATTTAATTCTAGAACATTTTCATTAACCCCAAAACAAACCTCATAGCATATACTTTAAGATATTTTTTGCTCTTTTGTCAAAGCTGCTTATTTGGTGGATACTTTGGAGTTTTTTTAAACAGAGTTTCTTTTTACTATGGGGTTCGTATTTTTTTCTAGTCTATAAGAAAGGCCCATTTATTTCTAGAGGCATTTCTAGAGCACCATTATCCTTGAGCTTTGGAGAGTTTGCATATAAGTGCTTGCCAATTTAAAACCACAAAGGCCCCATGACCTGTCACACATGCAGGTTGAAAATGGAAGGCACACCTTGCCTAAGCTATGATTACAGTTTTAGACTGAAAATCAGGAGATGAAACTTATATTTGTTTTTCTATGAAAATCAGAACTGACAACTATTTTGTTGAATTTTCTGATTGTCTTCAGAGGGTGAACTGATAGTGTGAATTAATTATGTAGTGTGCTCATAAATATTTAATAACTGGACTTGGGTGGCAGGGGAGCAAGAGAGCCCTGATTGGTGGCATTTGCTTATTCCCGTGGTGTAAATACTCTCACCATGGCCATTTGTAAACTACCAACTTGAAGTCAGTAAAAATGGAGTTAGGAAGATAATATACACAATCTACTCTCATGAGCTGGTACAAGCCACTTCCAGCACACCCCTAGAACTCAGATTTAAGGAATTATTTCAGTCCTCATTTGTATAGACTTTTAAGTAACATACAGTATGAACCAAAATAGGGTGGTTTCCATAGTTGTTTCATGTGTTACACATAGATGTCTACCCACTATACACACTAAACATATTATTGCTATGCTAAATATTTTTGCTATGCTAACTTTCAAGTTTTTTAGAGTACAGTTTGTGTATTACATAGAAGTAAATCAAAGGTAAATTTTTCGTGAATGTAGAATAACTAGAATTTCATTCCTAGGACAGTATCCTAAAAGATTCATTGCTTCCTGCTTTAACAACTTTTGAGAGAGGCTTTTTATTATATTTATAACAGATGAAAAATAAACCAGGTTGCACGTCCCCCCCCCTTTTTTAAAGATTTTATCTATTTATTCATCACACACACACACACACACAGAGGCAGAGACACGCAGAGGGAGAAGCAGGCTCCATGCAGGGAGCCCAACGTGGAACTCAATCCGGGGTCTGCAGGATCACTCCCTGGGCTGAGGGTGGCGCTAAACTGCTGAGCCACCGGGGCTGCCCACGTCCCCTCTTTTTATACTTAAATTATACACCATATTTTCAGTCCCCATTGTATAATGTAAGTTAAGCTAAATTGTATTATATTAACAACTACCAATATTTTTCTGTGAGCATTTTTATAGTGAATATGAACAATCTTTTAAAAAGAAAAAAATATATAAAAATAAAATAAATAAAAAATAAATAAAAAAAGAAAAAGAAAAAGAAAAAAATAGAAAAAGCTTTCATCAAGATGTTAAATGAAATTCCTAAAAAGTCCTATATACCAGATGAGGAGGATTCATCACCCATGCTGATTGTTGCCCCCTTGGAGAAGGGCAGCCACCTGCCAACAATTACATATCACCAACATGCACCAGACACTGTGTTAAGTAATGGAAGCACAAAGGGTTAAGAAGATAGACAGGGTCTATATTCTGGTCCA